TTTGGATGATAACGATGAGCTTTTAGACTAAAAAACGGGCATGTTGAGCATTTGGAAGAGCGACGCTGCTCAAAAATCCGTCTTAAACGCCACAAGAAAATCGCTCTTGAGCGAAGCAATCAAACACCAAACTGCTGCGACTATCTTCAATAAGAGACATTTTGAATACTGAGCCTGGTAGCTGTAGCTTCAAAGGCGGTCCGTGGCCTTTTTCTTTGAAGGTCGACTGATCTAGGGAGATACAGATTCGTGTAAACCGAACTGGGTTCCGTCTTGCAAGAGGATGCATCGATCTTATTTGCACGCTCTGATAGATTCTGGGACAGCGACATAATTTCCAGCACCCAACTTGAAAGCTACCTTTGACTCTGTGGGTCATCTGGCATTCTGTTAGTGCCTGAACGAAAGGTTCCCCCCACTAGTTCTTGACCCTCATTATGACGGTGTACGCGAACTCCCGCAGATGTGTGGAGGTTTATTGGAACCTCTCGCCTGAGTTGGTCACATCAAGTGGTGTTACACAAGGCTGTTCTCCTTCAACTTCGTCGTTGATACGATTATGAAAGATTTACTTCCAGCCTCTAATGCTTGTGGAGTCGTGCTCCCGGAGCGTTGACTCACAGACGACGTATCTTGTCTGAGATCTAACGTCGTGGTAGTCCAAACAATATTAAATGATTAAATGATTCTACCTCACGGTTCGAAATGCCCTTCAAACTTGCAAATTGTAAAGTGCTGCTTCCAGACTGCGCGGGCTCGAACTCTAAGGTTATGCTTGCGGATGAGCCAATCGGGGCAGTTGACAAATTTGTCTACCTGAGCAGCTGTTGGTCTCTCGAAAGGTGATATTTCCATACGAATTAGGAAGCCCACAGCAGCTATCGTACACATGCATCACCTGTGGCGGAGGCATGATATCAACTCAGCCGTCAAGGATCGAGTTTATAATGCTGCATTGCGTTCCATATCATTATGCGAGTCAGTAACCCGGCGTGCTGGCTCAGTGGTTAGAGGGCGAAGGGCCCGTTCGAGCCCGAACTCTGCCTCTCTACTTCTGCCTTGGATTGGGCAACCGAACAGTATCCCAGCCCTCGTGCTTCCTTCTGGTTAGGCATCGAGAGGGTGATACAGCTGAACAACTTTTTTCCCAAAAAAACGTGGCCGCTGCGTCTTGGAAACTTCAAAAGAATTTCAGTGTTTGACGGTCGATGTCTTCAAGTCTGCTTGGAACACCGGATCAGTAATATTCAAGTACGTCGAATGGTTTTCGAAAGAAATAACTGTCCCAAGACAGACGAACTGATCACACTCCATAGGTTTCGCTGGCTTAGCCCCATTGCTTCGTATGCCAGTCGACTGGCTCCCTCGAACGGCTGTGTCCGCACAACCATGTGAAGGGTGGAAACGATCTAAGGGATGTCAAACAACGACTTAGCAAACAGTTATGAAAGCCATCACCAGCAAACTCACTTTCGCTTGTCATTGCCGTCTCCCTGGATAAGGACCCAGGGACGGGACACACCGATGTTTAAAGACATTGTCACGCATGGACCAGTCAATGGCGATGGTGCATCCAAGCTATGACCTTCGAAGCATAACTCCCCTCCCAATCTCCCAAATTAAGAGTCCGCTCACATTCCTGTATTTACGCGTCAATTATTAGCTACCGCCTCCAGTGCGCAGCTACATACCTCATCTCCCCAAATTATCGGTGAAAGAAACGGTGGCGGCTCTAATCACTGCACGAAAAGAACGCGGTTTTTACAGCTGATGATGCTGATCACCACAAGAGTATCAGAGGCCTGAATCGCGTTTGCTAATTTGCACTTGTGGCGTCAAAACGGGATATCACCATGTCTTAAGAATCGCACATGCTAGGCTATAGTAATGGCTGCATTGATGTACGATTGCGAAGCATGGCCCCGCGGACAGATGATGTGAGGCGTTTTCAGGTTTTTGACCACCGAAGCCTCAGAAGTGTTGCTGGTTTTAGATGGCGTCAACAGATTAATAATGGGGTGATTAGAAAACGGGTATTTGGTTGTGCAGCATGCACTTCATCGCGGAAATCATCCTAATTCATCAACTACGGTCGTTTGACCGTGTGCTATACATACCGAAACACCGTCTACCGAGACGAGTGATGTTTCTGTGGCTCAACCGGACTGGCAGAAGCCGCGAGTTGGACACCGTATGACTGCAGAAAGGTTTGAAAGAGGTAACGAAGTGTTTGGGTGTTGTTGGTGCTGTATGCCATCCAGGATTGAGCCCCGGTGACCCCGCCTGCGCTTGACTGGAGACATTGCAAGATTTGGCAGCCGACCGGTGTCAGTGGCGTTCGTGCTGTCAATTTCTTTCCAGATAGTCCGATGGAGTCCTTGTAATTCTGGATATGGGTCAGCAAGAGGTCTGACTATGAGCAGGTAAATTGGCTCCCCGGAGCATGGAGTTACTGGGAACCCGCAGATTGTGTGCTTGTTTGTTGGGACCATGGATATCAGCCTCAGTTTCATGGATAGCATATGTAATTGACGACCAAAGTTCTAGATGGCGTAAAGATGGATGTCCGGATTTTAAGAGCGGGGTTGCCTTATCCCCGAGGACAGTGGGCTGCATTCATCTCGTAACGTCAATTCTTGCCTTTTTGTCTATCGTCTTTTCACGGTAACGTATGCACTGCTTAGTCCACACCAGCGGATCATTTCATGTGTGTAGAAATGCCAGTCCCAAACGCATTATTTTCCTCAGTAGACTGTGGCCACGTGGCTCTTCCGTGTCCAATTATGACATGTGGGAGTTGGACTTCAAGTTGCGAAATGGCGTTTATGATATTGATAGTTTGAACGGACCAGCAACAGACGATGGTCAGCACGCAATTTGGGCGAATAGTTGCCATTATCATCTCAGGTCGTATCGAGGCCAAGGTTCGTTTTATCCTGTGGCAGAGCTAGGTCTTCAGATCTCCAGCGGGTACAACACCATCAGTGTCATGAGTCCTTAGCAAGCTGTCAGTATTGCTGCAGAAGTCATCTTTGATCGAATCGGGGCCGGATTTATTCAGCGTGTAGACAAACGATGTTTCGATATACACTAACCTCGGTAGACAGCAGAGTGTCTTGTTTGGTTTGTTCAGTGGTTAAAGCGCGAATTTGCTGACCGGAAGGTCCATGTTTCAAACCCGATCTCTGCATCTCGACTTCCCCTGTCTAGGCTAGGGCAACATGCCAGCCCTCGTGCTTCCTTCAGTTGTTATGGCAGCTAGGCACCGAAAGGTAGCTACAGTTGAATAATTTATGTGGATTTTGATTATTCCATCATCGAGGTTACTGAAGGCTACACTCACGCGTGTTGGACCAGTTGGAGAGACTTCAGATTCTCTGAAGAAACGTGAACGGGAGACCGGACAATAGTCGGAGATGGAAAACGTAGTTTGGGGAACTTAACTAAAGCCAAACATTGAGCGTGCTTCCTTAGTTGTTATGGCAGCTAGGCACCGAAAGGTAGCTACAGTTGAATAATTTATGTGGATTTTGATTATTCCATCATCGAGGTTACTGAAGGCTACACTCACGCGTGTTGGACCAGTTGGAGAGACTTCAGATTCTCTGAAGAAACGTGAACGGGAGACCGGACAATAGTCGGAGATGGAAAACGTAGTTTGGGGAACTTAACTAAAGCCAAACATTGAGCTTAGGCGACAGCTTTTAGTATCCCTCCTGAGTAGGAGCTAACGTTGTCTGTTCAAATTTTTCGGATGTGCAAACGTTGTTGAAGGCCAGTGTGAGGACTTTGGAGAGCGAAGAAAACCGCTACGCTCATCTTGTGCTTGACTCGGGACCGGAGATATGTACTATGTTTCAGTGGCACTGGATCTAGGAACTGAGGGAGAAGAATGTGTACTGGTCACTGAATAGTTATCCATAGAGACGAGGGTGAGTGATTCTTTAATCCGGTTCCTCTGTGTGCAAGATACTTTCGTATACCCTGGACGAAGTGAGATTTCTGCCTGAGCCCACATTAGGAGCTGGGAAACCCAACCCACAAAGTAGCGGGGTGAATCACGGAGTCCACAATACAGATCCGGTGCTCCTAACCCTAAATTGGCCTTGTGGCCGCCTTGCTGGAGTTCAACATGGTATCTACTTGAACTGTTACCGTGCAGCTGTACTAGATCGTCATAAGCATAGATCATTGTGTTCCAAATCATGTGTTATGTCTGACTGTCCGCTCTGTCTGTGCCGCTTTAGTACCTGGTGCTGGCAAAAGACTCACCGAAAAGAACACAACTTTATTACAACAAACGAGAGCAAAAGGTACAACGACCTCGCGCTATTTGAAGGGCACTTTTTGACTTTGATCCAGGCTGTCTGATCGGCGTTTAGTGAACACCCATCAACACCGGCCGGCTTCCTATAAAATGCCTTCAACTTATCATTTTCGGTATTGCTTCTGTGGCGCTCGTGCATGAAAGCTATCGCCTTCAATATGTAGCTACCCAGTTTTTGAACAAACTTAGCATGTCTTCGCTTCCAAGGCTTGGTTGTATGCTCCACTTTCCTGTTTTCCGGCGATTGAAACTGTAACAGCTGAAACCTATGGGCCCATGGCACACGATTTGTAGCTGATAAATTGATTGATTGATTGATTGATTGAGTGCTTCTGTGGCATGTCTGAACATTTGTCGGCTTTTGCTGAATCGATTGAGTTATTGACTGGCCTGGATGTTTGCTGGCTTCATCATCATCATCGACAGAATGACATCACTGTTCAACACCGATGCTGGCTTCCCTATCGAAACTTCGGAGTTTTAGGGTCTCAGTAAGTTCTGGGCATTCTGGGGTTATTTTCAGGAATCTGACCTTCCTGACAATATGCGAGTCCTTTGTGTGTATAGATAGTGTATTTCACAGTTAAACACCTAACAAAATGTTTTCTTTGAACCAAAACCGTCTGCCGTATGTATAATATGACATCCTTATTTCCATACATTTTTACAGGCCGCCTGATTACCCTTTAAACTTTCCGAAACTCATCCAAATTGTGCACATGAATATTGTACCGGTTCTATGAGCATACCTCCCAACAACGGGATAATAAGACGCATTCAGCTTTCCTCAGATCCGCTCTCCCTAATCAGGAGTCTGAAAGAGGGTGGAATATGTTTGCGGTCTTTAAGTTCTCAACCGGAATTCCGGAGCCTGCTGTGCAATTTGGTCCGTCAATCGTTTGGGTTGGGACTGAAGTTGTTGATCGATTGTGGTTTGGATCTCTCCGTCCATGTGAGTTTTGATGACATACCTTTTTCATCCCTCTGACTTCCAAGAGGACATGATTCCAATACTTTTCACGCTTTACTAACTCTCTTACAGAATACTCAAGGTCAATCGTGTTAGAAGGGTGTTAATTTCGTGCGGTACGGACGACCTGCCCCTTGAAAATGATGTGCACAATTACATAGGCGGATCTAAGAGCCACAGCCTTTACAAGATGGGCGTTATATGAAAGGCATGGTTAGCATTCACAATTTTCTGACGGTTCTTTAGGATTACTCTGACGTTGTCAGTGATAAGTTGATTACTTTAACATTGACGGGGGCGTGGTTTTGTGTCTCTTTGCTCTTGCCAGGTGCGTGTTGTAGTCGGTTTGGTAATCAAATCTTATTTCAAAATCCTTCCATTCTTCATTGGTTTCGTGCTTTCTTCCGTATGTTAGCCGAGTGACTGCTTACCAGACACCTCGTTCGGTGAAGCCGAATCAGTTTTCATATCTGTATGTCGTTTGAATTATCATGACGAGATTTATATCTTCGTGCGTGTCAAATTAGAAGCGCTGAGTTCGCGTGTCGGTCTTGATAGAGCTCGTTGTGTCAGGGTTAGAATTCTGGCTATCTGATGTCTGCTACACTATTTCACTGGTGCACACTGGACTTATCTGTCTGGACAAGGTATTGGATGTGTGTCATGTTTGCTTGACGCCTCGGACGACCGCTGACCGTGTTTCTGAGGTCACCTAAAGCAAACCACCGGACGTCAAGCTTAACCCATGAACCCTTGGCCACTGTCTTAACAAGTCCTGCATTCTAATCCTCTTGGTCAGAAGTTTCACATTCATGTTAGGAATTCGAAACAGAACTAATGGAGCATCTGTAGGTGTAGTTCCGTTTTTTGATGAGGTCCACAATATCTGGTATTTTCTGCGTCCCCTCGAAAAATAATAAGAATGACGCTCTAATACAAATGGATTCTAAGGTGTTGACCCTCGCCTTAAGAACCACCCCTAGGTTATTTAACTGTGACATTTTCAGCTTATTAGAAGATATTTCTAATCGCATTTTGGATAGAGTGCTGAAGGCTTTCAGTGGATCTACACCATGTTCTAAATGTATGGCATTCTGTTTCAGTGAGCATTTAATGTCCCCAAGGGAGTTGTTAGGCAATGCCAGTATAATCAAGCCTTCTGGAGAGTGCAGACACTTCTGGTCTGTTTGAGCCTTTTTTATGGTTGTGGTCCTCCCCAAATTTCAATTCAGCTAGTTCTGCTCCATAAAAGGATAACTTTAAGTGTACTTAACCGGATAACGTCGGATAATGTTCAGTCTTTCTTGACGAAGCAGGATCACTGGCAATACAGAATCTGGTTTTTCTTCTTCCTAGGATCCCCATACCGGTGACTCACCACTCTTGTTGGTTTGTATGGAAGGCCTTTGTGGACCCACGAAGAAATTGATCAAGCATCTGCCATGGCCAAGCTTGCTGCATGCCAATACGTCAGGGGTCACACCGCTAAAGAGTCTCGTGACAAGAGGTCATGGTTTGTGTGGTTGCATCGAGGAGTTACTCGCTCATCTCCCTCTCTCTGTATTAATTCTACCCGAGAATATGTATCACTCTTTGACCCTTGCAACACAGCTTGAGCAATTTAGCGATATGTGGACTTCAGAACAAGTGAGGAATGGTTTCGTGACAATGTCTCCGAACATTGGCTCGGTTGAAGGCAACCAGAGCAATGTACTGCTGTTGTCTCTGAGTAATCTGCTGGACCGTATTCAGTCATCGGATCCTAAACGCATGACTAGTGTTGTGCAGCTATGGATACAGGCTAATCTGCTTTTGATGCAAAGTGAGTAGTTTTATTATCGTCCATGCGTCAAGATTTCTCTGGTCACCACTGTTGGCCACTCCTCAAGGCACACCCTGACTGATTTGACTTTGCCACACTGATTTCGTTGAGCGTACAGTTTCATACATTTTTTGCAGACGGTTTTTTTTAAATATTTCCTTGAAGTTTTGTGCGGGGAAATGTTGACTGGAGTTCGTCCATCCCGATCAGATGTCATCATTTTGGAGATCGAACTTTTAGGTCCTTTACGAATAGTGAATAATAACTTAACTCTTCACGGATAAGATTTTCTGGAGAAATACTGCATTAACTCAGTTTTTCAGAATTGGAGCCACTATAGGACTAGAAACATTTCACTCTACTTTCAACAGAAAAACTGTGGTGGATTGCTCAGTTAGTTTGTTGTTACACAGTCTGACGTCTTGTTTCGTTAATCCTCAGTCTCTTAACATCACAATGACTGCGTAAACTGTTAACTACGAACCAAACAAGTTATGATGCTTCCATTTGACTCTGCTTTGCAATTCTGATCCTGTCTTCCCGACCGACGCAATCCACCCGGCATGATAGTTTCTACGGAAATGTGGGTGCATTTGTGACGCCGTTAACCGAGTTCAGCGAACGTCATCAAGCGAAGAATTAGAAACACCAGCTCCTTCCACACGAACAGTAATTTTTCCGCAGGTTTAGTTTTACTATACCTTAAAAAGAGTCTATTCTATTTCGAAAACCAGGGAACAATGGTCCCACCTGTTATGCTATTTAATAACTGTCTAATCTTGGCGGGACAGGTTGCTCACAAGGCAGACTAAGTGCGGTCGCATTAGTGTCCATCATGTGTGAGCCTGATACACTTATCTGGCAGAAATGTGATCACGTGACCCGCAAAACGTGTGATGTAACGGGTGGAGCAACATTCAAGGAGAACATTCACACATTAGCTTTGCAAGTTGCCTGATAAGCTGTATAAAGCCTATCCTATGGTTCGCCAGCCGTATTCGGGGGCGAGATGGCCCAAGTGGTTAGAGAGCGAATTTACTGACCAGAAGGTTCGTGGTTCGAATCCGATCTCCGCCACTCGACTTCCCCTGTCTAGGCTTGGGCAAACTGGCAGTATCCCAGCCCTCGTGCTTCCTTCGGGTGGCATGGCAGCTAGGCACTGGAAAGGTGCTACAGCTGAACGCTTCGACCAACAGCTTGACAACTGGCCAGTATGCAGTTCTATCTCGTAATCAAGCCGTTCATCAGTTTTCGAAAGCGATGACGTCAGCTAAAGGTGACGTACAATGAACTCGCGCCCTGACTTCGTTCCCCGTTGAGCTTACCGACAAATTTATCGTGGCCCATCGCAGTTATCCAAAAGAAGAGGCCTTACTGGTGCATGGCAGTTTCTCCATGTATGACCAGAATACTCCAGAACCATGTTTGTTACGATTCAATCTGTGAACTAATGTGTGCCCGGCACTACTAAACCAGGAACCATTGTGAAAATCTCGTAGTTCATTTCCCTGAATTGCGTACGGCATTAGGGATGAGTCTCTCGCAAGTCTCTCCACCTAAACTCTGTGTTCAGTAAACCCCATCACAAGTTGATGTTGTTCTGATCATCCTCACCTTTTGTGGAATAAAGGAACTCCGTCTGAACTACTCCTACCACCCCATTTCAGGTTTGCCCAATAATCGGTTTTTATGATGACACACGCAAGGACTACCCTATCTAAGTCAGGGTGAACGGTATGAATCTCTCGAGAACTGCAAACATGTTGGACGCTAGCATTTACACTAGTTCACCTTATCAGCCGTTCTCATAAGGTTGTGCAGCATCTTATCCTCGTCCTGCCGAGGCTACGACACGGGTGAAGGACTGGAAAACGTCAAGGAGACAACCAGCACACTAGTGCAGTTTTCCATCTGGGATTTTTAAGATACGCACTGCTTTTGATTCGCAATAAGGATGGAACAGTTACACATCACTTCTCAACTCTTAACCTGAGGTTGAACTAGCCACAGTGAACATTTCTTTGGGATTGTTTTTAGCACAGTAAAGTCAGTCAGTGCCTCGTGGTAAAGCTGCCACCTTGACGTGGTGGTCGGGCTGCAATGATCTCGCAGGCTGCCCTGGCTTCAACTTCCTCCTACAAGGTGCAACCGTGGTAGGAAAGGCAAACGGAAGCAGTCGGACAGAGGGCAGCGAGACTTCGTACTATGAGTAATCATGCTACTAGGTGGTTTGTGGGTAAAGTCGTACTGTGCTCTGCAATGTGAATGTGAAGACAATAAGACGTTCCCCCATGTGGCCAGTATTTTCATATTCATAGAGGCAGCAATGTTGCCTTCCTCTGAGGAAGGACGATAGAAGAGGTCGGCCCTAAAAACCACACACTCCGATCACTTAATGGTTAACCGGGACCGCTGGCGTATCACTCAGTGTGGTCGAAATACTGTCAATTTGTCGAAATACTCTTAGAACTAGAGTCTAGTGTTGCTAAAAAGGTCCCTGCTGCGTGCTGCCTCATCAGGGGTGAGGCAGTAGTGCCGTACTCCCTGGGACCTCAGGTTAGACCAACGCCCTGCAGACGAGTAGGTCGGATCACTGAGTCACTGGCTCCGGTAAAACTTCCCGAACAAAACCCTACATCTTCCCGCTGCCTCACGCACGGGACTTTTGAGTCAGAGTCTAGTGGCAGGGTTCCATAACAAAGCCTTACATCTTTCCTTCGCCTTGTGAGTCAGAATTTTGAATCAACTGCTCAAGGTATAGTACCTCAAACAAATTTCATTCCTCGGCCTGGGTGACCGGGGGGTCCCATATGCCACGGGCCAGACTTTTGAGTCAGAGTCTAGTGGCAGGGTTCCATAACAAAGCCTTACATCTTTCCTTCGCCTTGTGAGTCAGAATTTTGAATCAACTGCTCAAGGTATAGTACCTCAAACAAATTTCATTCCTCGGCCTGGGTGACCGGGGGGTCCCATATGCCTACACAGTTCTTCCACCGATCTCCCTCCCCAATCCCTTCGCACCACACAAGCAGATGCTGCTGAGTCATTTAGCTGTCAGTTATATGATCGATGGGTCTTAAGCACTTCACTGCCTATTGACAATAAACAAAATAGCACCTTGCCAAATCCACGAAACCCCTTCCGCGTACAAGCTTTTCAACGTCCGTAGTCCATGTCAAATTGGGAAGCAGGTAATGCTCGCTGAAGCCTCATACTTCCTTAGAATTGATGTATGCTGTGCCTCAGGAACACATGCGAAACCCAAACGTTGTTATGCATCTCCGAGCGCCAGAGACGAGCTCAGATCTTTCACATTTCCCCCTACGTGTTTCCGGCGCTTCAGAAGCGGTGGCTGGTGGAATATATGACGTGGGAGTTGCATTCAACCTGAGAGCCGAATGCGCTTTGCTGGGCCGGATCCTAGTGAACGATCATCCAGCCCAATCGAGCACAGTGTCTCTCGACATAAAACGATGCTTGTTTGTAGTGTCGGTTTTTGCCCCAACGGACTTCAGTTCTACCGCTGAGAAGGATACTTTCTATCGAGATTTATCCGGGCTTATTCGACGACTAAGAACACTGACATCCTGATGCCTGCATGCATCGAGTGCTCCATTCGGTCGTCTGAGCTCCTTAGAACCATATTTGGACGGTCGATTCGCAGTCGGTGCTCGTCGCACAGACAACGGGAAGCGACTCCAGTAGTGTAATCATCGGCAGTGACATCATGACGTCAACACCGATGCTTCGCTGCCTCGCAACCGTGATTTATTTGAAACCCCTAGTCGCACAGAGGGAAGCGACTCCAGTAGTGTAATCATCGGCAGTGACATCATGACGTCAACACCGATGCTTCGCTGCCTCGCAACCGTGATTTATTTGAAAACCCTATTGTGATGTTTACCCCCACCTCCACCCCGCCACATATTTCACGTAGCCAAATTTTGTACGTCCACGCCTCTGAAGGCGTATCTATTTCACCCCAGTCACAAACGTGTCCAATTCGATATTTTCCTGCCTAACAGCGCAAAAAGGGTAAGAATGTCTGGTGCCACCATGTCGGCCAGATTGTCTTATCATTAGCCTCGTGATTGTCCGTCGGGGATTTGCGGCAAGGAATCACATGACGACGATCAGCTGGATATAACTTTCTTCTTTCTGCCTTCTTTCCAGTCAGGTGATATCCTTCCAGTGACGGCTGATTGGCTGGAAAACTTACCACGGACTATGCTGTTGCCAATCTGGTTGTGTGGCTAATAGCTATAGAATATGTGTACACTTTTGTGCCATTTGTGGACCAATGGTAATGAAGCGTTGGTGTTGAACACTAACGTGGCCAGGCGTAGAACTAAGGAAATGTGAACGAATTTGTGGGTTTTTCAACGAATGTTCGATTTAGTATACAGGTACAGTTACCTGATTAAAATAATCTGGAGCACTGTTTCGCTTTCTTTCGAAGAGGAATAGGGTCAGTCACGGTCAGCAGCCTGGCAATTGCCCGCCAAAAATAGGGTCCCTGTCGGAGCGAAAATCTATTGAGTGCAGTGAGCTTTTGGGCTTTTGAGGAATTCCATGGTAAACGGACGAATGCTCTGTTTTTTATCCAGCTTTCGTATTTATTAATCCAGTCCATCCTACGACATCCAAACCGTGTAAAATTTCTGAAGATCCACAGCCACAGTCCGTCTCTGGGCTAAATGTTCAATACACCTAGCTCATTGCTGGGGAAAATTCCAGGTAACATTCCATAGAGTCTATCGGGTGGAACATTCTGCTTACCTCCATTGATCACTGAAACGTGATCGATAAGTCAGTCTTTTATTTCAGCTTCTCTTCTGTCAATGAATACAGTCCTTGTATGATCTCCAAGGTTCCCTTGTTAGTTCGGCAAATCTAGCGATGTTCAATTGGCTGTCGCTCTCAGCACAGGCTGAACGGATATCTTTCTCATCAGTTTAACAGAGGTATAATAGACTTGAGTCTGGGAACACCACAGTTTTTTGTTTTAGAAACAAAAGAGCTCCTCATCCCACCCGGTATGTATTAATTTGTGCTTCGAGGACGCCACACAAGAGAGCAGAATTAGGCTGTCTTGACATGAAATAGTTCTACCCCACCAAACGAGAAAACTGCCGGCCTAAAAGTACGATAATAGAGGTAACAAAAGTATGCCTTAAATTAGAGTTCAACGGTGATTTGCATACAGATTGTCTACCAATGACTTGGTAGACCGTCCCTTGCCACCATAGAACGACCCTGGTTTACGAGGCGGTCCGTGTTACCCATAATTGTGGCTGAATGAACACTTGTATACGTTCATTCTCAAGTCGTGCTCCCGCTGCGGCCGAAAACTGGCAGCACGGGGTCGCCTTCAATCATGACCTATTATCCACCCGCCACATTGGAGACTGGCGGAAAATCCTGGAACTTAGCCACCCCAAACCGATGCAGCCCCATCTTTTATGCTTTAAGTCATTGCTTTCAGCCCGCTTGACCATCTTTTAACATTTCTAGTTTCCAACAGAATGAATTGCTGCGCCACCATTCACTGTTCAACCTCTTTCTGTACTGTATTTTTTGGTTGTTGAATAAGCGAACTTCCTGTCATGTACCTATTGAGGTAAAGCCAATGACTTCCAGTCCGTTTGAAAATAATAAAATACCATAAACTTCAAATTTTTCAAACGGTTATCATTTTTTCTGCAGGCACAGACAAGCCCATTCAGTATGAACAGAACCTCCGAACCATAGCTAAAAAACTGCTGTCTCCTATTTTGTCCAAACCTGCCCCAAGCAACTTATTAGTAGGAAGACTGTTGGAACTGCTGAGTCGTCTGATCATTCTGGACCAACTGGATTCTCGAACGGTCTGGTTTCAACTGCACGACATTCTTATTGAACAAGGATTAGCGGAAGGCAGCGATTATCTATGTCAGAAGTGAGTTGAAGGCTGTTGGTTGCTGGTTGTGTACGCTCAATACAGAGAAAATAAAGGAACTGTAAGTGCTCATACACAACAGTAAATTTGACAGCGACCAACTGTTCTGCTTGTCTAGGCTTCACAAATGTGCTGTCATCGTTATGGTAAATCCTATCATAATGCAGAACATTCTTGAATTCCAGGGTTCAACCGTAATTTATTGTATACCATTCTTGAGTGAGCATTTTGAGTAGCTTGTGACCGACCATGGTTATTTTTTTCTTTTGGCTCAGTGGGAAGAGGGTGAGATGACCCAAGTGGTTAGAGCGCTAATTTACTGACCGGAAGGTCTGTGGTTCGCCTCTCGACTTCCCCTGTCTAGGCTTGGACAGCCTGGCAGTATTCCAGCCCTCGTGCAACCTTCGGGTGGCATGGCATTTAGGCACCGAAAGGGTGCTACAACTGAACGATTTTTTTCATTTGGAACCCACCTGCCGTGTAGCAGTGGACGCATTCGCAGCGCATCTCGTTGGCTTAGTCTACATTAGGATTAGAACAGAATATGGTAAAAAGCTCTGCAGTATGAAACAGGATACGCGGTGCAGGTGTCATGAGGACTTCACCGTAGAATCAAACGATCAAAGTGGAGATGTAAGGTAGCCGGCGATTACCTGCCAGACTTTCCGAGATACTGTCATACTATCCGGATGTAAATGTGAATCGGGTACTTGAAGGTGAGGTCAGTAGATTCTGAAAGGCCAAGGCACCGTACAGCTCTCAGCTGTACCGAATGTGTGGGGACGATCAAAAGCCGTAAGTCCCAGTTAGGAGTGCCCGACCGGCACTACGGTAAGTTGTGATTAGGTAACCCATAGTATCGTGTTCCATGTCCCATCATTAGGGAACACATGTGCAGCCCTCTTCCCTGCTTGTATGCCGCACAACCATGCCAACCCATAGAATACCTATTGTTACAAGGGAAAATTCGGTAGCGAAGAAGGAACTACTAGCCCTTTTTGACAAGTGGCCAGGGTGCCCGTATCTCGAAACACCTACTGAATATAGATTGGCCAGACACAGACCTACATGATCTAGCAAGGTTTTCGTTATGGACCCCACTCATACTTTGTGGATACTACGTACCATATTACAGTGACGCAGTCGCGAAACAAAATCCGTAAATTATAATTCAAAATTTGTTACTCTGAGTATTCGCAGTCACGTGGTCGCCATCGTGGAACGTAGGTGAAAGGTCACAAGTGGACAATCACTTTAACACCGTATTTCTGGACATAGATTCTCCAGCCAGTCCAGATAGGGGCCATAACTACTGCCACGCTTTGGGGTGTTGAATTAAGACACAATACACCCTAGTATGCTCAATACTTCCCAGTATGGACAAGCGAGCTCACACTATACCCACACGATATTGGTTTAATTTAGTTTTGGTTCGTTGCAAGGAAAAAATCAACGGTGTGAAAACTGATACTTCTATATTGACGGAGGGTAACATTAAATAAAAGTGAATATTTAGAACTCCTTAGCATGGTTATCTCATGAAAAATATCAACTACCGATCGGAATAGGCTATTTTTAACAGTTTCTGGTGAACCACATTTCGAGTTCACTGACACAGAAGTTCGCTGTAACGATTGCACCGGATCACCGGGAAGGTGAATCAATCCAGCAGCAGAAAACCGAAAGGCAATCATTGATCTCTCCAGAGAAAGCTCATGTTGGGCGCGCAGCTGTATCCATCCAGCGGGACCGGCAAGAAATGGTCCCTCCAATCCAGGAATTTACCGTTGAGCCACTCCTCAAGGACGACAGTCGACCCTTTAGGCAACAACTATTTCAGGCATCGTCGACTTTACTAACATGCCAGTCTTTGCAATAGCACTCTGAGCTTTAGGTTTTAGAGCGCATAACGAATTTAACGCCGACATCATTCAGTGTATTTCGTATCCGGTCTTGACCTTTACAAAGTAGTGCCATATCGTTCTCCAAACATAATTAGATATAGCGTTTCTTCGATGAGTTATTCGATTGCGATTTTGAGATGATAATGCGGACGCCACTTTTGGTGAATTCAGAATACTCAATCAATTTGTTAGCTATGAACCTTGTGCCATGAGCACATTGGTCCAAGCTGCTACAGTTTCAGTCACCGGAAAACGGGAGAGTATGGGGCATACAGCCGAGTCTTGGGGGCGGTGGCATGTTCAGTCAGTTCGGGGATCCGGTAGCTACGCATTGAAGGCGATGGCTTTGATGCACGATTAGGCCGTTTCTGCCGGTGTTTAGGTTGAGCCCCGGGATCCCTATCCAGAGAGGCTAAGTCTACTGGTGTGTTTTCATACTTCAGGTCAAGCACTGTCCACCTCTCGGCCGATCCCACTCAGTACAAAGCTGGGCAAAGAGACCTGCGTGGTACACGACCTCCTTGTATGTGGAGTACATGTCCTAACCAGAGTAACCTACGAATCGTGAGTAATTCATCTATCGCGAGGGAGTTCTTTATTCGTTGGACCATCTGGCGGAACTCAACATTACTAATCCGATGTTCCCACCAGACTCGACCAATGATTCGGAGACGCCGATGGTCAAACGCTGACATCTTTCGTGTGTTCTTTGCGTGTAGAGGCTACGTCTTTAATCCATGAAGCAGTGTGGACCGCACTGCCTCGGTAGTTAAAAAAAGTTCCATTGGCTTTTTCGATTCGAGGAATAATCTGATTTCCAACCAATCCACCGGAATTCATACAGCTGCAAAAGTAAGAAAATCTATCTACCACATCGACTGACTCGTCTGCAAGCGTACGGTTCGAGTTTGATCCCACTCAGTCTTGTAGCGGCACTCCTATCATAGCAAGATGACACTTGCACGGAGATATTCAATCTTCTTAACCTCGTGATCGATTCTTTCATTATATCGGCCTCTGTGAACAGTTTGGATACCTACAGCCTACCACATCCCCATATTTGGGAGCCTGTTTATTACCGAGGGGCCGCTCTGAGGCAAGTTTTCGGTTGAACTGTGATTGTACAGTGGTCCATTCTACGGACAAATCAGTTCAACTCCCGCGCCATTTTCCTAAGGAAAAGTCAAACCGTACTTTTTAGCCCGAACGGCGAGCATCTTGTTTGGTCCCGTTGGTAATTCAAAACAATATGCTGTCCGGTAGAATGCACAGTGGAAATAATCGGCTCACGATTAGGTCATTGAGTTTTCCCAGGTTAAGCAGACCGGCCAAGTGTTTACAACCGATGAATTTAATCGTCTTTACGTGTTATAAGCCCAACTCATATATTTTTGCCCATTTTCAGCATTCGATTCGCGGCAAACAGATCGGAAGTCCCGCTAAGCCTCCAGTCGCTGATTGTGCGGCAGCTCCGCCAACTTTTTCAGCAACGATTTGTGCAATCCTGTCGGTCCACACCTGGACGACCCGGGGAAAATGCTCTTATTTTCACACATTGGACCGTGCAATTACCTTTACCACAAATTGTGATATCCCGTATTTTGTTAGCACCCATAGATTTTTCTGATCTTTGATCACCCGATTTAACTATTTCAATTGCATTTAGAATCCTATCCCCAATTTGCCTTTCATCAAATATTCATTGTTAATTCAATGAAAGGGGTTTTTTGATCTTACTGAAAAAATGCAATATAGACAAGAGGGGATTAGATACACGGGAATCACACGATGGGGCAAGGTGCTGTCGTTCGCAGTCAATCATCTGCCGTCGAAACGCCTGTTGGTCGGTGGAACGTGATGGTACCGGTTTCGGGGTCTGAGCAGTGAAATTGAAAGAATAACCATTTATGAGGAGGCAAAATACCGCGGGGAATGGTTGGTTATGCTTAGAAAACGAAATATGGTGCCGAATGTTACGTCCGCGCACCGTTTGCTGTCAGCTACTAAGCGGCCAACTTTAACGGATTTGTTGCCTTCTCTTTGCAAGATTAAATGAACAGAGTAAGACAAACGCTCCAGGTTATCCTTTACATGAATAGGAGTTAGACGCTTTCGAAAAAGTTTGGTAATGATCGGTAGATTTATTGTTGGGCAACGTTTCGATTTCAACACAACGACTTCGTCAGGCCAAGTGACCAGGTTACGAGGTTGGTCGAGATTTTAGGTGGAAGGAGAACCAATCAGCTAGGTCAAGCGTTCTGCTACCTGATGCGAACTCCAGAGGGCTGTACTGAACTGAGTGGCCTGACGCGATACCGAATAGCGAACATCTTTATATTTCACCGTGGGTCGCTCAGTAGTTCTTCCTATTCTTATCCTATTCACGATTTTCCTCACGGATACGGATACAACCAAGATTGTTTACTTGTTCACGGAATTCTCTCTTGGGGGAATCTGTCACCAGCGCAGTCAGGGTTGCAGACCTCATCATTAGGATCTTGTTCTAATCAACTGGCTAACTGAACGCGATGATAGGAACGTATTGCACGGTAGTGAGTGGTGCTACAATGCTAAATTTCCAGCGGGAGTGATTCATTTCATCCTATATGTTGTTTTTTCCACACCAGTTAGCCTGACAGGTTTGCGTGCACATTGATTTCCCGGTGCTTTCATCGTTTCCTTGTATGCATGGGACCAAAAGAATAACGTTCAACATATCTGCTTTTGTACCTGAATTGGTGCTCAGTTTCAGTCATTCCGCTAACGCTACTTTTCCGGTTGAACGAAGCTTGTCAATATAAAAACGTTTGGAGTGTTGGTTGTTCTTCCTTTAATGGCATCCGAAGGAAATTATTCCAGTGTTTACTAGGGTTCGCTCGATTTATCTAGAGCGGAGAACGTCAGCAGCAGTGCAGCTTCTGATCGATACTGAGTTAGTACGATCCACTTAAACTAAGTCAGGTGTGGATATCATTTCCACCAGCTGCTGACTGAAACTCACCACAGGTTCTGGATGAATGTATGTCCGGTTGTCACAGTTCACTCAGAGCTGCAATGTTTCGATAGGAGCGGTCCTTTTCAAGCATCTGAAGCATTTTTGAAGGATACTTAATTTTTAGAAAATCCTCACGTAAAAATTTTAATCCAGAAGGAAATTACTGTGCTCAATTTTTTAGATCTGACTGGTCTTCAGATGCGTCACTTTATTCGACCACATGCTGTGGACGTGTCTGGTGACCACGACAAATTCGATCAAAATCAGTAAAGGACCAAACAAATGTTCATTTCTATCGTTGCAGATAACCATGTCCAGAAGTTGCACAAACGAAAAGAAAGATTCAGTCGTTCCCCTTCATTTAGGCACCAAAACGCAAGTGTTTGAATGGAACGCTTTTAGTGAGCCGGCAAGCCTACACAATATGGTGGGTAAGCGAACACATGACCTAGTGAGTTATGATCGTCAATGCGAACACCTCCTGTCGGATAACTATAGAAAAGATTGTCTACTGTGCAAATGAACTGTGACTACCTAAACGTCAACGACTTCAGGAAGCTGAACGATAAGAAAGGCGACCTAATATGACTTACTGTGTTCGTTCAATCGTACGGATGAAGAGGGCTTCTCTTCGCCGGGCCATATGCTAGCTGTCAAGGTAAGGGCTCTGATTCCCTCCGCCTCTGTAGGCTTGGGTGCCTCTCAGATCTCGGACCCTTCAGACTGAGAGACGGTTGACTGACAGGGTGATACGGCTGAATAATTCGCGGAGTTGAAAAACAGGAGACATGCTCATCCACCGCAAGCATGAATATTCCTGTCCGTTTGATGCTGTCTCCGCCTGGGCTTATTTTTAGTGGATGACAGTGACAACACACGGTGTCACAATACCAATATTGCGATACCCGATTCTAGTCAATATTTTATTTCCAATTTTGTCCCGATGTAGTCCAAGAAGCTCGTATTGCTCAGACATGATGTACTTCACTGCTATTTTATCATCTAATATCAGCCTGATAGACTACTTACTATAAAGCTATTGTAAGCCATTACCTCTGTATCTCGCATTTTACACGTATTGCAGTAGAGGGACATGTGGTGCGGGCGAGTTAACGCAGCTTTTGAAGTGTTCCAAACAATAAAAGTTAACTCAGTTGAAAATAGATCGCACAGTTTTCGGAACGCTCAGATTTACTGACATCCAGGCATGAAGATGCACCCTGAGTGAGCTAGCTGAACGAGAAATCATACTGGGTTCTTAGTACATTGAGAGAAGGGAATAGCGGGTAGTGTCGTCAAGATAACAACTAGAGCTACATGGTCCAACGTATTTAGTGTCGAAAACATCGAGAATTCGGCCACAGTGGCGATGATAAGCAATCACTATTACTGTCACACGTTCGTTTACAACTGCCCGGACGACTGTGAAAAAATACATTGTAGCGGAGAACAATATTGCGGCATCTACATGTCGCTAACTATGGTTTGTACGACCACAGAACCCGAAAAACCTACCATTTGAGGGTGTGGCACTGACGTATGTACATTCCATAGGGAGAATTCTCGGAAGTGAATCGCTTGTTTTTCACTTCAGTCCCACGGTTACAATAGTTCTGGTTTGAAATAAGCCAACTACCAGGTTATCCGTGACTAAAATCTGGATAGGACGCCGTTTGAGGAGCAGGAAATACTACCTGTTCTAATAACAGATAAGAATGCTTCCTAGTAGTGTGAGTTTTGATAATTTTGGTGGGAATCGATTAATTCTGTAACTTATGTCAGCATCATCATCGACAGCATGACACCAGTGTTCAACACCGGTAACATTCAGCCAGATAGATTTACCCATCAATATATTAGACAGCCAAGCGACGGGCATTACTCACATAAAACAAAGGTATCAGTATCAGTATTATGAGTAGTAGAAATACAATGTTGCCGTATCACCAGTTTTTCACTTGAGATTTCGTCCTGTCTATCTGTTTTGAAAAGCCAGGAAATACTGTGCACCTAGTTCATCTTTATTGGGAATCACGAAACTCCAGGGAGTTTCGAACTCTCGACCTTCAGGCCAAGTAGTGTGAACACTTAACCGTTCGGTCACGATCGGTTGATCAGCAGTGTGGTTAACCCACATCTAGGCAAGATGTGGCATAGTTCACCTATGAATCACTGGATCTGCACCATGTGTTGACAGGCTCATCGAGTGGCGAATTCGCAGATAGCTGTTTCACTCATCGGGTGAATCTTATTCTCCCTCTGAGCTACTTATGGACTGCTGGTAGTGTGCCCAGAGGAAGAATATTCATCCGATGAGTGAAACCTTTATCTGAGAAGTGCCACTCGAGTGTGACCACGTGATGTGGATTCCGTGATTGGCTGACGGGTGGTGCTATATCTTGCATAAGAACGAGTTAATCACATTGCTGATCGACCGAAGAGTTAACTGTTCAAACTACTGGCCAGGAGATCGCGGGTTGGAGACTCCCTGGAGTTTCGTAGTATCCGCACTGCTGATGATCCCCAATAAGGATGAAACACCTGTACAATGCTTGTCGGCTTTGCAGCATAGATTGGCTTCACTTAAAAAACGATATCTTTATTAGCATTGTCCTAGACTTTCATCCGTCATGTCCGGTTCTATGGTGATTTAGATTTCACTCAAAATGCTATCAAAACATACCATAACTGGCGTCCAGGATGTGGGTTTTTCCTTGGTGGATGAGCTCTACAACAAAGTCCGGACCGGAAGCGAAGCTCTGTACAAAGATCCCATTGTATAGGCACCAGTTACAGATTTCCTGAATGGAAGCTGAAAGACCGATGCCTGAAAGGGAGATGAATAAAATGCCGTTAGCAGGATGTCTGGATCGAAGATGGTACCAGTGTGTTGGTTACAGAACATATGTGCGTGTAAGGGAACCCGTTGATAGACTATCCTAATGCTAAGCAAGTGGCAGGTAAGACGGTCCCCAAGTGAGCTTGCCATCATATCCCTCGAATTGGACCCGTTTGCCGCAGTCATGTGATGGATGGATGGGCAAATATTCTCCAGAGATACAGAGAAATTCCAGAATCTGTGTTAGTAGTCACCTCGCGAAGAACTAATTTTCCACATAACCGGGAACGTAAACGCTACTCGGTATAACAGTGTTCAGATACGATGATGTTGATGAACAAAACGTGATTCTATTGGTATTCTAAACGCGGAAAAATTCAAAAGGTTTCAGACTGGCTCAACCAAGTGCAGGACGCTGACTGCAATCGAGTAGCGTACACGGACACTGGGCAAAAGCCAGCCCAACGTTTGACCACTAGTATTCATGTTCATTGCCCATTTTTCGGGACTCAAATAGCAAACGGACTTAAATACATGGGGGACAACTTGAGGCGGGATGGTTGAATTGAAGCTAAACAGTTAGCTCAATGAATTGTGCCACACAAAATTAGCGCTTTTCCCCTTCAGACCCCGGCGGAAGAGACTGGTGCTACAGGCGGGAGACTACCATAAGGCGTATAAATTTTACCATGAGCCTCTTACCACGAAAAAGGCACAGCTACTTGAATTAGGCGACATCCTTGCCATACACTGTCAATTCAGCCAATGAAACCCTAAACTCTAAACGCTGAATGTCACAATAAACATATATTGCACGACGTTGAAGCGCCCAACCATGCACTGGTGATTTCTTGAATGGTGGTGGGAAGCTTGCAAGGCAACCATCAAGCTCCGCGAAAAGGTCAGCAGCCATCTGGTCGAATACCAAAGATGTGAGCGCCAGAACTATCAGCCATCAATAGCCGCCACTCTTAGGCGGCCTGGCGTCATTATTGGAGCATCACCGGTTGATGTATTACGGGGCTAGGGCAGAAGAGATAATGTCTCAAGAATATATAACAAGGTGAACAAGTTGCACTTGCGGCATTTAGGCAACAGAGACAAAGTCAGCTACATCGAGCAATCAGTAACCCAAGTGAAAATTACCTCCCATGAAGACCTGTTATGCGGTATGGTTGATAGTTTCACTACTCATGAGTACCAAGTCTAATACCGCGGACCGGCTGGTACGGGTAACGCCATATTGAGACGCTTGAAGAAGTATAACGAAACAGCCAATAAACTTAACTGAGAAACTAACGATGGGCGCAACTAACCTTCCACACGAAAGGACGAGTTTTCTCCCTCCTGTTTTCCCTCTGCGAATAATGCCAATTGAGTGATAACAGCACAGTCCTCATCTTCCTCAGTAGCAGCCCTGACAGACCTCGGCGAGGTGTGGCGCAAGGGAGCATGTGCAGAATGCTTCGTAGCCCTATCAGGTTTTGGGCGTTTTCCTCCACTGACAGAAGGGATGAGACGTGGGCTATAGCGTTTAGCTGAGCCATTCGCACGGTGAACCATGGGGCGTGTAGGACTCCTTATTGCAGTAGGTGATCGACTGGGTGAGGATGTGCGAAGATCGTCTGACACCGTTCTGGAAAACAAATCGGAAGGTAGACCGCGAACGAGTCAGGGAGAAAATGGATAACGGTCGGTGCCCTGCGTGACAAAAACTTCGACCTTATAAGATAAGGAAATTCCTATGAGGTTCAGTATCGACCCAATCGTTTCAGCCAATGAAACAACAAGAACGACCTACCGCTTCTTTGATCACAACACCGGAAAAATTGTAACTGCACGTGCAACTTTCGGTGAGGTTGTCAGTGCTATTAACCTAAACCAGCGCGGAAGGAATTATGGTACATCTGAGCTGGGTAATTTGGTTGCAAACGTTTCATCACCAATCGAGGTGACATCATCAGTGCGGAGTTGTGCGTAACCCACCGCTACGCACAACTCCGCACTGATGACGTCACCTCGATTGGTGATGAAACGTTTGCAACCAAATTACCCAGCTCAGATGTACCATAATTCCTTCCGCGCTGGTTTAGGTTAATAGCACTGACAACCTCACCGAAAGTTGCACGTGCAGTTACAATTTTTCCGGTGTTGTGATCAAAGAAGCGGTAGGTCGTTCTTGTTGTTTCATTGGCTGAAACGATTGGGTCGATACTGAACCTCATAGGAATTTCCTTATCTTATAAGGTCGAAGTTTTTGTCACGCAGGGCACCGACCGTTATCCATTTTCTCCCTGACTCGTTCGCGGTCTACCTTCCGATTTGTTTTCCAGAACGGTGTCAGACGATCTTCGCACATCCTCACCCAGTCGATCACCTACTGCAATAAGGAGTCCTACACGCCCCATGGTTCGTACATCTGTTACGTTTGATTAATCGTGACGGTGGGTCGACATAATGTAGTGTCTAGCAAGCATCCATACAACTACAGCGAATTCGATTATACCTCTAATCTGGCTAGCTCCACAAACTCAGTTTTCCCTAATCACCAATACGGACTTCTAGTGTATAAAAGGCCCAACAAAATTTTGTCCTGGTCAAAATGTATCGAGAAATGTGTTGCGCAACTTCGGACCGGAAATCCATAAGGCGGTCATTTTTGCGCATTGAAATACCGATTGAGATGGTTGAACCAGATGAGGGTTCTCGTTTCGTATGTGTGCGCTTTCATGGTGTTCAAGCTCGAAGGAGACTACAGACCAGTCTCCGCATGTGCAACAGTAAAGATAATATCGATGGCTGGAGCTTTTTCACAGCTCCGTCCGGAATAGGCAACATAATATCGTCGGTTCATGTCCTAGTAACTACAGTCGCTTTTATTGAAGGAAATGCCAAGGAAAAACCAATTCCAACTCGATGCAACTTAATGGTCAGGCTACGTAATGCGGCGTGGTTCGATATGATAAAAGCGCTTAGATTGCGCAACCTACTCCTAACAGAAAGGTTCTCTGACTAGTTGAAACACTGGGTCTCGGTTACGTTTGATATGTTAGAGTATGGCTGGGTCCGGGCTTGCGCCCACTGCGACAGATAGAAGACCACTTCTAAGATGGGTACTATATTGACTAGCGTTCAGAGACAGGAGAGGTACATGGTTCTGTGTTTAAGACCCCTAATCAAGTCTAATCAGTCAAAAGCACATATAACGTCCGGCTAACAACCCCATTCACACTCGCTACAACCATCATTATCGATCACCGAAAAGTAGGAGAGTGCGGGACGTACAACCAAGCTTTGAAGTCGATGGCGTATATTGCAGTTGGTGGCTCCTAAGTAGCTCGATGTGAGTGTTGGTGCTGGAAATCCATACAGTACACAACTGAAGCAGTCGCTCGCCATCCGTTCGCTGGTAATCGATTCCAAACCTACCACCTAAGTGTGCTTCTTCCGGAATTAGTTGCCGAGCTTGGGCACTCACACCAGCCAAGCTGACTACATCCAATACTGTTTTCGACGCCAAGCGATCGGTCGCCGATTCGATGATGCTTCAGTGCAACCTGACATGAAACACTGGCCATTTCATGTCGTTGACGACCAAGGCAAGCAGAAGATTCAAGTTCAGTACAGACAGACAAAGACATTCTACCCCGAAGAGATATCAGCTAATATTTTGGCAATGGAGACTGCCGAGGCCTATTTGAGCACCACTGTGAAGGATGCAGCGGATTATCGAAGAGCCGACGTCTACTACGATAGCTTACGGTTTGGACAGAAAGGTTGATAACAAGAGGCATGTCATGATTTTCGATGTGTCAATCCTTATCATCGAGATGAAGTCCACATCAAGTGGGGTGGAGGATTCCGACATTCGTATGATGAATCACATCATTCAGGACTTAAAACGTAAACAGACAAAGACCTTAATGACAACAACCGCGCAGCTCATCGTCTTCACACTGCTTGTGGGCGCGAAAAACTCACACTGAGTTCGAGTGTGCCAGTCAACATCGAAATCGATTTTTTATTAGAATGCATCGACTTTTCTGTGCACGTTTTTCAGGAGTTACCTAATCTCTTCATGGATGTGTCTCAGAGGAAAGTACCTAGGTTTGACGGCAACCCATTACATTATTGGACGTTTCTTAGAGGATTCACCATTGGGGTCACCCAAAACTTTACGGATCCAGCCGCATGAGTCCCTTGCTAATCATATGCCACTAGGATGGGTCCTTTTGGGACCGGTAAACAACGCGAACGACAAGTTGGCCCGGATCAACCAGCTCACTAACCATGCCGGAGACAGTTCGAGCTCGAAGTTAAAAACCATGTTGAACGTGGAGTTCAGCGACCAACCGTAATACGAGTGCTTTGCGTCACAAGCTGACGAAAAGGTAGTATCTGTTGAGACTGACGGATGGACGTTATGAAATCGATCTACCCAGGAGAACACGTTTTCGGAGCTTGCCGCCAAAATGTCGCGTTACCCGTCAAAGACACCCTTCTTGGTAAAAGATTTACCGAAGACAGTCATCTCCACGACCACTCCGTCACGAATATACAATCAAAGGGCGTCCCGAGCCTGTCAACCACGACTCCGAGACCGAACGCACTGACAGTTTGGTGATTGCTGCATCATCCAGTGGTCCACCCTCACAAGCCGCATAAAGCTGACGTCCGTAAAGCACTTACCGCGAAGAAACATACACTGTGTGTTGAAAGCCACCTCCGGCTCGTGTGAAATATACTCAAGTGTGGAATGATACGCAACATCCAGGAAAGATTCCGTCGATACGCACTTCAACTACATTTACTAGGTGCCTCGGTCCAGGGTGATATGAACTGCAAGGAGCAGAGGGACTGAATAGCTGATCAGTCAGCCGGCCCAATCTTCACGAAATCTTCTGACTGGGGGAGTGTCGATTCCTCCTGCGAATCAATGGCGATCAGCTGTTAGCTCCCCTAGTTTTTTCTGACTACCCACGAATAACGTGATTTAGGCCTGTTTATTATAACGCCATTTCGCTTTCCCACCATTCGTTATCCGAATTTCGCTTTCTCCTAAGGTCTGCTTACTCTCTAATAAATGTCCGTATTCGCGTACAATTTCGTATCAACTTTATCCATTTTTGGGTGTCTATTCCGACGGGAAACATGTCGAACTCAGGGCCTCTCGGATGATAGACAAGTATGCTATTCACAAGCGCCACAGGAGCTTTATTTTTATATTACGTTCGCATTGCACCTCACCTGACAGTGCCTGTTGGGATTTTTGTTTTAAACCGACCTGAGCGCGCATTCCGAGTAGACACATGGAACATGCTGCTTCGTCATGCTGTCAGCTGCAGGTGTATTTAATTTGTGCATGCAGGTGTTTAATTTGTGCCAAATGCACCCGATATCCATTTCCGGAATAATTCCGTTACCTCCTAAACGTACTGTCTTCTGTGATGGTACCTCCGTATATGACCTATTTACAGTGTGTGAATGACCGTATTCGTACGTTTGTATAAAATTGGGTACTTACACTCTATTGCTCCCAAACAAACCTGCTATCTCACTATATCTTTTTCTGCTGCAACCGACTGCGCTATTATTGATTGTATATTCTGCTTCATTCATGATGTTTATTGACCCATTTATTCATAAAGCCAGTTCTCAATACAGCGTATATTGACCTCATCAGTCCGTTCCTATTGCCTACCGAATACGAACTGCGTATGGCCCAATAGACCCAATCTTCCCGTAAGACCCGGACCTTACAGTACAACTATATACCGCATACTTCTAATTTCGCCGTGGTAGCTGGAGCCAGTGAGAAAATTTCATATGAATGGTAGCTGCCGCTGAACAAGCAAGATAGGACATGAGTAAAAAAAGGCGCACAGATTATTGAAACGCATAAGAAACTAAAAAAATCACTAACCCATTGGACGCCGATCCCTTGGGCAGGTCAAACAGCGCTTCGATAACTTGGGCCATTAGTGATGAGCTGTGGACCTGTTCTCCTGTGCTGGTGAAAATCGCTATTCCCTCAGGGCCGAAAGTGTTATTCAGTTGTCGAACATAGAGCATATCGCCGTCTGGGGTTTCGACCAACATCTGTTTCAAGGAAAGGGGAATGTATGATGACAACTGTTTATTGACTGCATGTAAGGAAAGCAGTGAATCAGCCTTAGCCCGGACACAAAAGGGGAAAATATTGGGGGTGTTACTGAAAATCGCCTAGCTGAAGCACCCTTCCACACATAAATGACACGGAATGAGCTTCCGCCTGGCCGTCTGGGCCTTGATAGCATGGAAAGAATATGGAATGGAAAAAGGGACACAGACAGTGTCACCTTCGAGAAACGAATAACCCGGGAATGTATTGAATAAATCGAGGGAGATTCGCTCTTGAGGTCGGTCAATAACCAACCTACCAAAGCCCAGAAAACACTTTTACAGGAAATAGCACCATCATCCAATCATCCAGCGTGGCCATTCCTAAATTGCTTGAGAGTTCTCTCCCAAGAAACAACTCAAAAACATGCAGAGATTTGGTCCCCGCCAATGAGTGTGCAGAGCATAAACTACCTAATGTAGGATACTTCCAAAGAGTGGAGAACCCAGACCGAAACAGAAATACTCCATAAGGAGCACTTGCTTCAAATAAGTTTAGATCAAGAATTAAGGCCATTCGATCACTGCAGCGACTGAATATCACACAAAATTACCACATCCCACCTATAAACATGGAGAGCTATGTCGGAGCAGCAGATGAAAGCAGACATGTGCCATTGGTTGGAAACATAGCAGATTGCCCTACGCCGTGACCTGAGAAGCAAGCCAAAATGTGAGGCCATCACGGGCTGCTTGGCTACTGGTCGTAGATTCAGTAAATATGACAAGAACGATAAATACCAATCCAGTTCAGCTGGTAAGGTTCATAGAATATTGTTAGCCAAACACTTGTTTGGCTTTCATTGCGGCGCGAGAGCAAATGAGTGAGACGAGTATGACCTGCTCACCTTATTTCAGAGGGTGGAACTTCATTTAATCCATTAGACCCTGGTTTCGAGGCACATTTGGCTCTCAGGACTGGTTGAATGGCCTAAGTGCGACTTTGTACTACTTTTACTTGCCCAGCTGCTGTTCAGAGCTTGCTCGCATAAGCCAATCACGAGAAGTACCATAAATCGGATAGAGAGCCAGAGCAACCAAGCTGAGCCACACCAATGAATCTAAGTGCAATATTGCGTTTGGTGCTCGCTGATGCTGAGGAAGATATGCGAAACCCCATTTTCTGGAAGAATTTGTCCAGTAGCAGGTTATAAACACAGCACAGTGAACGACGGACATATCGAGCTGAACAGCCTGGTCTTCATTTGAAAAGCATGTGGACCGACCTTCGGCCACTGGCTTCCAGTGGACTGCAGATTTCAATTGTCGTCAAAGGAGGCTCCGGCTGGAGCTCCCAAAGTCAGCCCTCTTCCTCGATCAGAGATAAGAGGAAGTATCACATCCTCGGACATAAATGACAGTACAATATAACTGATAAAACGCTCGGTCTTCGAAAGTCGGGACGAATATACAAACTCTGAACAACATTTTACTATCATTGCTATCGGGGAAAAGTGTAGGTACTTTCCCCTACTATTCCTAGATGACGGAGGGCTTGTATCGTTGGAAAACCTAGTGCTTCGTTTCGAAACAAACAGAGATATCAAAAATTAGCTACTGAAACCACTGTTAGATCGTTCGCAAAATTAAACAATCAACTGGTCACGTGCAGCCGCCATACAAAATCAAACAGCACTAAATAAAATATACGGACACACCAGTGAAGTACAACAGCTGCGGTTAAAACGGATGAACTAACCACATCGCGGCCAGCCGTTTCATCGTTTTTCGATGGTACCGCATCGTCACTGAAGTGGGAGCGAACAGAAGGATTGTCGTGAAATGGATCGTTCTCAGCCTCGTCATCCAACATGCCACTATCTTGTACAGCCAGTTCCAAGTCGACCGTGCAGTCCACTTCCGGTTGTCGATCCCAGTCGGACTTCGCGGAAGCCAGTGGGTCGGACAGCGAAGAGTCTGGGTCCGGTTTAATACTTCCGGTAGCTGATCTATCTGCGCCTGGTGCAGTGGAGGCTGATTCTCTCGAATTGCCAGTCTCTTCGAGCTCATCCACTGTTGTTGCAGTCACAATAACTTCGTCCGCTGGCGGAGCAGCCGGTACCAAGGTCTCTTCATCAGTCAGAATATATGCATTTGCATTTGCCAGATCGCCGTTGGTTGCAGCCATGCGACCAACAGATGAAACCATGTCGTAGTTTGTATTCTATGGGGAGAAATTAAAGAGAAATACCATCATTGACACGGTAGGAGACCGACACAGATTTAAAAAACCAAGTGACAAGAAATTCACATGACAGCATACAAAAGAGAAAAACGGAAAGCAATTATATCAATTCCTATGCAATCAGCGTACCAGCATGGCATCGCGAGCATCAGTGTGGCCCTTGGTCTCCGCGATGTCTATCGGGGTGAGCTCAAATTTATTTTGCGTCCGACAATCGGCTCCGAAACGCATAAGCATCTGAACAACCGGAGTATGCCCACGCTCTGCGGCCCAGTGTAAAGCCGTCATACGAAGCATGTCTTTGGCCTCGATTTCTGCACCGTTACGCAGCAACAATTCCACAATGTCTGCGTGACCTTCTTGAGCAGCGAGGTGGAGCGGCGTCCGATCGACCTTCGTTCGCGCATCGCGGCTGATCCCGGCGCTCAGCAGTGCCTCACAAGAACTCAAATGTCCGTTCATTGCGGCAAAATGCAAAGGGGATATTCCGAGCTAAAATGTTCGATGGGTATGAGCCATTAGGGGAATCGACCGTAAATTGTTGACCAGGTAAAACAACCAATACGTTTGTTTATGAGTTATGAAAGCTGTGATACGCTACTCATCCGCGACGTTGTTTAGATAGCAGAGGTTCCACAAAAACCACCACCAACTCTGGATAAAATGGAAATAAACAATCAAACGCCCCGGGTTTATGTTTGAAAGCACACATACAGGGTGAATGAACCGATGACTGCCAAATAACCCATTTGTGACTTCCTCAGAAGGTACCCAGGTATAGATTGATTGGAATAAAGCTTGGTGAAAGGTACAGCTATCTTCACAAAATCGGTCGAATTAGCAGGCTTACTGACTTGTTGTAACAATGTGTCGGGTGATGAACCATTTGGTCCTACGCGGCCTAATAACCCAGAAAAGTCTGCATAACTATGACTTACAGCAATTAAACTAGCCGTCTTCACTATGGCAAGGAAGAACACTGAAAATGTGCCAGAATATTGGTAGCTTAGGTGGGCTCATTGGTGTCTGATCGCCGAGCTTGCGTTTCGCCACCTGTCGAGATGATATCATCGATGATTTCACCACAATTGGCGGTGAAACGTTTGCAAACTAATTGCCAAGCTCCAGGAACAAATTAACGGCCACCTTATCAAGCAACAACGAACAACAGTGAGTTTCTCCATCGGAGAATAAATTTTTCAAAAGTTCAAGTGCTGAGCTATTTAGGAAGTTCGAAAATAACAAAGCAGAAGCACCCCTTACTTGGATTCCAGTATTGCTGTGCATCTCAAACCTGAGTGCTGAACCTTTATACAGTGATTCCCTCAAAAAGGTGACTCAAATGGTCTTATTGTGTGTATGATTGATAAAATTTACATCACACATTGTATGTAGGCCAAAAAGTACTGTGCCGTAACAGACCATTGCATAGTGACAGTATTGTACGAAAAATTCCACAATTTATTACCGGCAACGCGAACATCATATTTTTGTCATCGACTCGTTTTTCTTCCCATATATTTCTGTAGGCAATGTAGATGGAACACTTTCAACGCTATTCGCGACGTCGATTAAAAACTCTTCCACAACCCACTACTGATTTCACCTCTCTTGGAGCTCATCACATGGACTCAATGTTCAGAACTTCGTCAAACTTATGTCCGGAGCGAGATGGCTCAGTTTACTGACCGAAAGGTCAGTGGTTCGAATCCGACCTCCGCAGGTCTTCTCCTGTTTAGACTTGGGCAACCTGACAGTATCGCAGCCCTCGTACTTCCTTCGGGTGGCGTGACAGCTAGGTAGCGAAAGTTTTACGGCTGAACGACCGATCAACCTGATGTCTTACTTGAGCACGAAGTTGCACGTTTACTGCAGTAGGTACGCATTTACAAGTGAGTTCGCAGTTAACGGGAGACTCAGCTGCAGCTCACTTCGTTCATACTATTTTTCAACCGAACGTGTTGCTGAAGTGCACTATAAACGAGGAATACAGGTGAATTTCAACAGTCTCCAGTGACAAATATAATCTGTAAATGAATATTTGTCGCAACATGTTGTTCATGTGAGAAATAATGTTGAGGAGCCCCAATAAGAATGAAACCGATAGTGGGTTGCCGAAGAGTTTTCAGCAACCTTATGAGTGGGAATCAGACATACTTCGATATACTTATATTGTCCCAGTCGAAAAATACTGTAAGCGAGATTTAGGTGGATTCAAGCTGAATCCTTCGTCAACACCAATGCAAACTTAAGTTGAATATGAGTTTTTATCGCAACATAGATAGAGCCCTCTTTTTTCTTAACTTACAAGTAATAATAGGTCACGTTGTAGTCCTATGCCTAGATATTTCTTGTGACTTAGTGTCAACGGCAAAGATACATCTCAACGAACTCCCCGCATCACTGTATCGCTTAGCTACAAAAAGCGACTGCGTTCCCCACTTTCCACCTGTTTTCATCATCGATTTCATCTGCGTTTGTTGAGTTTGGCGTCCTAATCGCGTTGGTTTTACAGTCACTGTGTGATACAATACGAATGATCAGAGTAACTTACATTCTGCAGCTGGTTCTATGGCAGCCACACACGAAAGAGTAACACAAGCACAAACAAGGTGGTTGTGATAAGGTACCTCGCTGAGGTAGTCCGACAAACTGGAGTTATTCAGAGTTTCACAACGCTCACAAACGGGCTTGTCCGGCTGCAGCAACTGAGCAAAAAAGGCTTAAGACAAGTGAAACGTCCAAATAGTCGTCGAAAGGTGTCTGGGTGGCTCGATTTCACAGGACATACATCCAGCTCATCAGAACACACACTTGGACTCTGTCGCCCATTTCGTAGTATATTTTTGCAGCCATTTGAATGCACACATTGACTGACTACATTAAGTGGTTTTAAACTTAGACTGATGTCGCTGGAAATATAAGACAGGGTCGAACCCTGCACCAATCTTGCTTTCAGGCGTTCTGCGTGAGGTAAGCAATCCGCATTATTACGTGAAGCGGGTTTATTGTACCAAAGGGGTTAACCAACATAAAGCCAAACACGTAAGCAGATCAACTGCGGGTACTTGATTTTCGGTGCGATGTTCATGGAAAGTAACTACGAAGACGATTATTTATGCGGGCAAAAGTTACGGTGGGGTAAGTAAACATTGGAAACAACAAAAACGCGAGCCGCTGATTTGTACTGGTCGGAGTACATGAGGTGCCCCCCTCTAGGAGAGGAGAGGTGGCAGCAAACGCCAGACACAAAAACTTACCCAGTCCGTTGTGAATGGAGCGCCACTGCTCATAAGGTTTTTCACTTCTTCAACATCTCCATTTTTAGCTGCCTCTAGAAGACGCTTTCCCAAATCAACTAACGAGAATGCATGGGAAACATTGGAGAAAAGTCGCGGGTCATTCTGTGGTACGGGAATGATGTAGTGATTCATATTGGTTGGGTATATGGTAGAACTCAGTTGCATTCGGAAACAATCATCAACTGAGCAATAGGCAAGTTATGAATCGCGGGTTTACTGTGTGAACAAGGCATCGAGAACTGGAACACAGAAAAAGTGAAGCAATGAGACGATAAAATGATTCCGCACTTTGACTCGAAAAGAGTACAGTGTTGTGTGCATCAAGCTTCCCATCTCAACGAATTCAGCCATGAGGAAGCAACCCCACAGTAAAAGAAAACTTGAGGACTGAATTCAAAAGGTCATAGACACTTAAGGATCATCATCAAAAACGAGCCTTCATTAACATCGAAATTAACACGTCTGAGGCACTGTGAGGTAAGGTGCCGCAATCAAGATTGACCTAAAACACTGCGAACTTGGCATAGCATGATGAGAAACACACCTTAGCTGTTCAGTCTGGCCAGGAAATGCTTGATGCTGGGATCAGTTACGTGCTAGGTCCTGTAGGGTTTCCGACCACTTGCTATATGTATAACTCCAACTATTAAAGTGCGGAAACCGCCAGCATTCAGTTTCACAATGTCCATTCCAAATTCGAGTTGCTGCATCAGTTTTCCACAAGCATTTTATCAATATTGAAACGGTGTAGAAGACGGTCGATTAGGCAGATCGTGGTAAGGTACGCATCGTGCACTTTAAAGTCACCGTGGCGTGAGAAATTATACTTGCTTCAGCGGAGATTGAGATAGTTCAGTGACTAAGGTGAGTGCGCTAACCTATTGGTGAAAAGATCTGTGTTTGGAACCCAACCCCGGCATTTCGGCTGCTCCTGTCTAGAAGTGGGCAACTTGGCAGTAGCTCAGCCCTCGTGCTTCTTTCGGGTGGCATGGTAGGCACCGAGAGGGTGTTACTGCTGGTCCAGTATTATTTTTATCATTTGCTGCAGCAATGGCTTCGATCCATTGTCACGTGCTTATAACCATCAATCTCACAGACAGCAACATTAGTGATGAAAATGATGTTCCCTCTGCAATGCACCCATAGAAGCTACTTGATCCCACTTGAAACTAGCTACTACGTCACGTACTGCGCATGTCGACTGATTGTGTGCCGAATTCAATTCACAGTAAGGAAGGAAGATAGGTGATTGAATGTTGACCTGATGGAGAGATACAAAAGCGATCATCATCATCATCATCATCATCATCATCATCATCATCATCATCATCATCATCATCGAGAGCATGACATCAGTGTTCAACACCGATGCTTCACTGCCGTACAACCATGACTTATTTGAAAGCCTTATTGTAAAGAAAAGAGTAAAGGTGGACGAGGGATGGACTTATTGCTAGCTTAACACAAAAGCGATCACAGGAAGTCTGGGTACTGTCGCCGCGGCTCGTCTTCAAAGATGGGGTATGCGTGATCCTCCGTGTGCATGGTTAGGGACGGTGCAGGAGATCTACACAGCACCTCATGCTAGGTTGGTCAACGGGTAGAAGTCTAATTAACATCCTTCTGGTCCTCTGGGCTGGGGGTTGGAACATGTGTGGCAACCTGCTCCTCAAAAATGTAGACTGCTCTAATGGCCTTGCGCAAACCACCGCGGCCTTACGGTTAGACTTTTGAGCCGAAGGCTTTGATTGAGGATCCTAATCGTCCATGTGTCTAGGTGTAGGAGCACTGGCAGAATCGCAGCCAAGGTACGACTATGAATCGCATACTAAGAAATTCGACTCAATTCAACTTATCAACTAAAAACCGTGTGCCATGGGCACAATGGTTCCAGCTGCTACGGTTCCGATCCTTGGAAAACGGGAAAACAGAATATACAACCAAGCCTTGGAGGTGAAGGTATGCTCAGTTTGTTCGGAGATCGGGTAGCTACGCATTGAAGGCAATAGCTTTGATGCAGGAGCGTCACTGACTGCGCGATCGGGACATTTCCGCCATGTCACTAACCACTAGTGAGTTGAGTCCCTGGGTCACCATCCAGGGAGGCGGCAGTTATCCACCCCACTAAGTTTACTGGTTAGTGTTTTCGTACTTCGTTGCCAGGTCATACACTGTCCACCTCTCCGTCGCCTCCACTCAACACAGTCCTTGGCAGAAATCTGCAAGTCAGACGGTCTTCTGGCATGCGTGGTACATGTCTCAACCATCGTAACCTATGAAGCGTGAGTAATTCATCTATCTCGGGAGAGTTCCTTCTTCCTAAGACCACCTGAAGGAACTCAACATTACTAATCCGATGTTCCCACTGGACCCGACCAATGCTTCGGGGACACCGATGATCAAACACTGACATCTTCCGTACACCCTCTGCGCATAGGAGCCATGTCTCTGATCCATAAAGCAGTGTGGATCCCACCGCCCTAGTGTAAACTCTTCCCTTGACAGACAAACTCACGTCACGTCGGCGACATAGGTGTCGAAGGTTGGCAAAAGTTACCGTGGCCTTTCCTATTCGAGAAATAATCTGATCTCCAACCACTCCACCGGAACTTATACAGCCGCCCAGGTGAACAAATCTATCTACCACGTCGACTGGCTCGTCTTCAAGCATGAGGTGTGTGTTTGATCCCACCGAGTCCTGTAGCAGCACTTTACACTTTGCAGGTGTGAAGCGCATACCAAACCGTGCGGCTGAGTTAAAAATCGTTCGTATTTGGAAAGGATCTGAGCAGTATCGTCTGCATACTCAAAGTCTGTGAGGGAACGGTCCCGGGAGTAGTTCGACTCTCGAGGTTTCAGACGCAGGTATAGAAATTCCAAGCTGTATATCAACAACATATTTAAAGGAAGGGTAAGAGAGGGCAGCATTGTCTTGCACCATTGGACTGAGGCGAGAGCTTCCCGTATACTCGCACGCGCCCACAGGTGTTCGCATACAGTGTCCTCCTAAGGGAGAGAAATTTGGAAAAGACACCTTTGATCGCTAGACACTGGCAAAGTTGCTGACGATCGACAAAATCAAAAGCAGCTTTCAAGTTCCGAAAAACAACCAAAGTGGGAGTGGCACTGTTCAAAAATGTGTTTCAAGGTAAAGATATGGTCGATGTATCCTCGACCGGGGCGAAATCCAGCTTGATTCTCACGAATCTCTCTCAGGATAATCCATCACTCTGCGCGAAATAATGCCAGCGGGCACCTTAGATGCGACGGATACCAGGCTGATACACAATAGTTCTCACATGACGTTCATGTTCCCATTTTGAAAACTGGGATGACAGTCGATGAGCTCCTTTCGGCTGGTATTCCGTTTACGTTCCAAATCTTCTGCAGTATGGTTGTCAGACTGTTCGCCAGGACTCCCCACCTTTGAAGAGCGTGGGGTGTAGACCATCTCGACCAGGTTCCCTGTCGCGCTTCAGGGTTGAGATCTCACGCTGGATTTCGGTTCATTATCATCACCCTCGATAGCATAACATTAGTGTTCAACACCGATGCTTCACTGCCGTACAACTATGATTTACTTGAAAGCCTTATTATAAAGAAAAGAGTAAAGATGGACGGGGAAGGGACTTAATGCTAGCTTACCACAATCATTTTGAGGTGCCTAAACCTCCAGACATTAAATCGGGCGATCTGGTTACTGATGGTGAGTTGGTGTCCATGTCCCATTCGGCCTCGCTTGGTTCTTCCAGCGGTTGTGTTGAAGGGGACCAGGTGAACTGTTCTTGGAAGTACTCAGCCTACCGCTCGAGACGGCGATTGAGGGAGTGAATTGCTGTTTCGTCTTTTTCGTATATTGTCTCACTGACACCTGTCTCGTTTTGACCCGTTGACCGGATCAGTTGAAACGGAGCGTGGCCATTGCTTGCAGCGAAAGCCTTCTCCATTTACTGGACCTTCGAAATCCACCAGCGTTCTCTGTCATTCTTCAAGCTCCTGATTATCCGGTGTTTGAGGGATCTGTGTGCGCCATCATAGTCGCTGGTATGGCCTTTCTGGCAGCAATAAGATCTGCTAATCTTGAGGATACCCAGTGGTCATTGTGTTGAGTCGGGTGGGCTGGACAAATAGTTCTGAAAGCTGACAGCACCGCCTCTTTGACTTGCCTCCATTCGTCCTCCAAGGAATCTTCGTCGTCCATGACTGTGCGTTTCCAGTAGCTTTCTAGCCAAATTAGCTCGATACTGTTCAGCTACTGGAACTTGTCGAAGTCGATGAACGGAGCTGCTCTCTTTCGCCACGCGTAGTGCTGGCGGAAAGCAATGGCGTGATCAGAGTCAAGTTGCATACCCCAGAATGAACGACAATCCCTAACTCAGGATCGGTAACTTATAGCCATATGGTCCAATTAATTCCACGACTGTCTTGTGATAGGTGGCTTCCAAGTAACTCGGTGCGTGCGTTTGTGTTGGAAGTTCGCACTGGCCAGGAACAGACGATCTGCACACAACTGAAGAAGACGCTCTCCATTATCCTAAGGCTAAGCATCGACTCCAAATTGATCAACTAACTGTGCTTCTTCCTTACTTAGTCGTCCAACTTGGGCGTTCATTTCACCCGTCAGGGTTACTATATCCGTCCTTCTTGCCGACCGAAGTAGTCGTGGCAGATCTTCATAGAACTTGTCCTTCTTAGTCTCAGAACTGCTATCTGCTGGGGCGTATGCTGATACGACACATAACCACCGTTCACCGCATCGACCTGTATTAATCTTAATTGGGACAGACAACCGCACAGTGCAAAGGCAACTGTTTACTGGGATCCAGTCCTGTAAGGCGCTTTCAGCCTTGGGGATGAGTGCAACTCCCATACTGTAGATACCAAGAGCCATTGCATCAGAAACACCGGATGCCCGAAGAGTGAAATGGGGAACATCAGGACCCGTCCTAAGCGACTTGAGGAGCACGACCGAAGTGGGGTCTTGTATGCGTGTTTCGGAGACACAACATACATCGATAGAGAGGGAAAGTAGAGCTTCAGCAATGGATGCCCGTTGCCCGATTTGACATAGAGTACGGACATTAAAGGCTGCAACGTGGATCAGATTATTGTGGTGATTATTGTGCTTTATTTTTCCGGAACAGTGACTTGGGGATTGGCAGGTGGGTTGATTGCATCGCATTGAGCGATGGATTGGAAGGTAACGACCAAGAAAGCTTTCCTGGCATGGTTGAGCCTT